GACCACAAACGTCATGGTGAACGCTATCTGTGGAATTCAATATGCTCAACAAGGTCCACTTACCTAGACGAATGCTGAGGTGAATCCACGATGTAGCTCACAATACACGTAATGGGCAAGTAACCAAATCGACAAAGAAGTTATGGTACCACTAAATAGTAAACAATCAAGGATCATTTTATGTTACAAATTCTTGTCTTTGTGGCGTGAACTACGAAATATTGCTAATGAAGTTTTAGTCAATGCAATATCCAAAATGGGACGATTTTCTCGTACTGAATTATAGTTTTGAATTTAATTTTAAAATGTCGGTACGTTGGCACTTAAATTTTCTAGAAAATTGTGAAACAGCAAGAGAGAAAATCTGAAATAAGCGTCGGACTTGTTGTTACCGCAAATTCCCGCCGGCGTTTTTCGGAATGCCATGATTTCACCTATTCTATTCCAACAGGCTTTTCCCTTTGCATGGCTTTTGATGTCACCTTTAACTATCCCAGGAGCACTCAAATATTTTATAAGCTTTTCATCGTTCTCGATCCGATGGAGTTAAATATTTAAGCGTGCACCATACTCCGTAAAGCAGAACGTTACCTTTATTTAGTTAGCCGGATATTTAACCACACGATCATAAAGTGATTATTGCTTTTAAACCGACCAAAGTGTCAATCAATTCTTTAATACCTTTATAAATTAGTTTAATGGAAGTAATCCGTTCATTCTATTTGTTTTTAAATGTTAAATTTTTTCCATCGCAATAGGTATTAAGTAACGATATGGCTAAACAATTTTTGTGGAATGAATGAATAATTTATAAGTAGAAATTATGTTTATTTACTATTACTTTGAAGAATTACTGGAGAGAGGCCGTTTTCTACAATCACGAAGAGGATGGTACGTTTTTTTCGACTATTTGCTTTTTTATTTTTACAATTTCGTATGGAAATTTGTTTATTTCTTACGTATGTGTGTATAAAGGTTTTCAAGAATTTTAAAAAACCTAAAGATATAAACAATTATGTGTAGATTGATCCAGTGGCGGTGCTTACCTTCAAATATAATCGATAAAAACTAAAGTTAGAATTAGGTACTTAGGTAATTAGAATCCTTAGAATATATGCCAAAAGAGTATTCAGAAAGAAAATCGTATACAATATAGGTAAAATATAAATATAAATTATCTCATCACATATAAGGTCGTCAGTCCTAAGACCGGTTGGACACGCACCTCCATTCTTTCCTATCCTTAGCTAATCTTCGCATTTCCCTAAAACTCGAATAACCCACATCCTTAACTATTTGCGAACAGTAATCTAATCTAATCTAATCTACCTCTACTTCTCCTAACTCCCGTTTATACCTCTAATATGTCTCTCACTAGACCTTCATGCCTACCAACCTATCTCGCGTATTTTTACTCTTCTCCTATTCATCCTAACATCTCTTGATTTCTAACTTTCTCTATCCACGGTACGTAAATAAAAGATTTGTAGCATCGCTTTCTGAATTCTAAATTAACCGTTCGCTAGCAAGGAAGTGACTTCTTTTTATTGAAGGCCTACCCTGCACTATCCTCTGCTTTATATCCCTACTACTCCTTCCGGCCTGACTTATCTAACTTCCTAGATACCTAAAATCAACCTTTTCTTCTAATTTTTCGTCTCTAACTCCACCTCTACCTTTATATTCGCTCTTTCTCTACTTTTTCTTCCCTTGCATGGCAGTATTTTTGTTTTACTTTTATTTATTTTCATACAATTCTGTTTCGTCAATACCAATTATACCAAATTATCTATGTGAGAGAAATAAATCTCAATACTTTCCAGAAAATAGGTAAGGGGACTCTAAATCTTCTTCATCTGTATAGTTACTATTGGATTAATATTGTTTGATTTAAATAAAATTACGACAATTCGTATGAAATTTGTTTTCACCAACAATAATATTACTTATATGGACAAGATGTGATGTCCGGCACCTCCACCATATTTATAATCATCAACAAATTTTCAGATTCATATTTAATATTGCACCTAATGATAACAGAAGTCATCATCTGGACTTTCTTAATCGATATAAGTTAAACGACAAAGCTTGTACTTACTAATAAAAAAGTATATTGAATTCTGGGATGTCCCAGTGGATCATGCGACATGCAGATCTAATTGCTTGCAAGCGAGCAATTAGCGTCAGTGCAAAACATGTCAATTATATCAAGGGACACCGTCTTGTTTCGACACTGCACTGGCTCTGTAGCTCACACAATCAACCGTCGCCTTCCCTGTCGTGGTAGTGTGTCACTTACTCCAATTTCCCAATAGGGTATCAGCATAATGCAATTATGTGTTCATGCACTTCTGACCCATGAAGCCGAATGAAGTACGTACGTTGTTACCCTAACAAATCAATTCTGAACGGCATCATAAAGCCACATTCATTCTTTTTCTAATTTCTAATTCTGGGTTCCAAATTTTGCATCGATTTACGTGTTCAGGATAGTAAAATCCCCCTTTTCGAAGGAAAACGCACTTTTGGAAGATATAGTTATTTAAATAAATACTGGTAACTTTTTTGGGCAAAGGGTGTGACCAGGGACCTGATCAGCATCACTTTTGTGTGGACAAGTAGTAGTAGATAGTAAAGTGGAAACGGAAGCGAATACGGAATGGGAAGTACACTCTACACCGAAAAAAATATATAGATACCGTAAAAATTATGCGAAGATTACATTCTCGTAAAGTCATATGGTAATAATGACTAAATTAAAGTAACGACCCAGTAAGAGGAGAATAAAATTTGAAAAATATCAACAAACGGAATACTAGGATTTAGGTCCTACACTATTGCAAAAACCCGCCATTAAAAAACAATGCTCCCAGTAGATAGGGGTGCATCACTCACGAGTGATAAGTAATAAGAATAAGTTAAATTGTCTTCCAAGGCGTTCGTTTCTCTCTAAACTTAAAATTGTTCATTAGAAGTATGCGGAAGTTCCGTAATTGCGGAAGTGGAAGCAGAAGTCTGTTGTAACGCTAGACCACACCGTTGTAGATTGCAAGCTCATTTAACACGAGAGAGATTGAGTTCCATAATAATGACAATGCAGAACCATCATGGTATTCCCCAAAAAATATTGTATTACTTACATACAAACTATCGGAAATAACTACTTTCCACAACATAGGTCCGGAATCTTTATGATACATAAACGAAACGAAAAAGATTGTAATCCAGAATTGTATTCTCAACTTAAAAATTGTGAAATCTCAAAAGAGTTGGTTCCCTCTTTCCTATTTTTCTTCCTGGTTGACTGCTTTACTTTAAAATCTCTTAGTCCACCGAAGAATTTACATCATCAATTTTGCGCGCCTCATGTCTGGGCATTGCCCAGCTGGCCCCGCTTAGAACGGGCCCTGTATACCGGAACGTAAAGTCAAATTATTGATTTTTGGAAAGCTTGATTTGTAAATCAAGTCGAATATTTTGCAAAAACATCAAGCTACTTGACTTATCGAATCTACGTTTTAATAAAACTAAAAAAAATATTTAGATGAAGATACAGTTTTCGGCAGTAAAACAAATGAACGTAATTGAATATTGGTAAGCCAATCAAGACACCCTGATACTCATAAAGACGGCCCTTTTTTGTTCTGCAGTAGCGCAAGGGTGANATAATCTACAAATCCTATGTACACACTCTTTCCTTTTTCTATCGTTTTCTCTATTGTTACCCGTAAAGCTAGAATGGCCTCCCACGTTAATCTATTTATTCTAAACCCAAATTGATCTTCCCCTAATAGTTCTTCCGCCCTATTCTATTTTTCCCTTTTCTATCCTCCTCTGTACAATTCTAGTTAAGATTTTTGACGCATGGGAAGTTAACCTGATTGTTCGCACCTATCTGCGCCTCTCTTTGGTAAGTATGGTTACTACCACGTTACGTTTATGATCCTCTGGGACCCGTCTCGTAAATGTGACTAACTAGCTTAAACGTACGATCTTTAACCTCTTGTCCTGCATATTTTAGAATTTCCGACTGAATTAAAAATTATAATAAGTGCATCACGCTCAAAAGGAAGTCCTACTCTACAATGATTATGTTTCCGGCAGAGTGAAGTGTAAGATCTTATCCGTTCAGGGCGTGACTATGATGAGAGTACAAAACTTGTTTTGACCATTCTAAGCCTCTCTAGTTTGTTTTTATAGTATCGTTTATTAAGCAAAAAGTAAAAGAAAATTAAAGATTATTGAAATACAAATAGAAGTTAATGTTTGTGAACCGCAAAATTAAATAAAAACTAATGCGATTAGCATTTGTTGTTTTAACGATATAATGTAGGTACCATAGGTAGAGAAAAACTGTCAAAAACACACAAAAAAAACTTTTCAATTATTTTAATCGACTCGACCACATACTATAATCTATTAGGATTTAATATCTACTTGTTGAAGAGGATATCATTAATAAAAAACTGTTGAAACAAGTTTGTACTACTTAATTTTCTCCACTGAAAAAGAATATGAACTTTATTGTTTGTTCTGCTTGAATTCTGCTAGATCAGTTCATTAGTAACTCAACGGGACAACTTTACCATATTTCCCAAGTACCTGTCGACTTACCTCGCGCACCGCCTGCAGAGGTGTAAGCGATAATAATTTGTTATTAATTATGCAATACATGCATTGTTCTTCTATGCGTGTTTTGATTGAGAATATAAACACGTTCTATTAATAACAAACGGCGACACTCGTAGTTCGTAGCCCGGGTTTTCGCAGAATCGAAAAAATGACGAGAGAATTAATCAAAATTAATGTAGGCAAAATTTTCATTTTCTAGTTAATACGATATCAAAGCATGATTTTTAATATTTCAAATTAGATAGTAAATCTAAACAGTAACACGAGTACGTGAGCAAACAATTAATAAATATAAACTTTGATCTCCCAAAACATTCGTTATTTGATATTAGAATATTCAAAAATATTTTTGTGCAATAGCGGCATAGACGCATATAAATACGATGATTGCCGTTGTTAAGACATAGTACGTAAGTGAATCGTTTTCAAACAACTACAACCTACAACCAGCAATAAAAATGTACTCTGCCGTTTTTGCAATTTTTGCGCTACAGCTATTTGCACAGGTAATAATTAACTGATACGAGTAATCATTTTTTTCATCATGATTTTCCCCAATCAACCTTACCTAATGCACTCTCTAACTTGAGATATTCATTATTTATTTAATTAGATTCAAGCTGCTGCGATTGTTGGAGCTCCAAGTGTTGGAATTGCAACTGCTGGATTACCACCATGCTCCTCCATAGCTGGCATTAACGAGCTAGGGATCAGCTCAGTAATTGGTGCTCCATTCCTAGGAAATGGTCTTTTCGGAGCTCCCGGAGTTGTATCTTCTGAAACAACCACAATTAATGGACTTGGTGCCTTCCCAGGAGTTGCCGGTCCTTTCTTAGGCAATGGGATCATTGGAGCTGGAGTTCCAGGAGTTGTATCTTCTGAAACAACCACAATTAATGGACTTGGTGCCTTCCCAGGAGTTGCTGGTCCTTTCTTAGGCAATGGAATCATTGGAGCTGGAGTTCCAGGAGTTGTATCTTCTGAAACAACCACAGTTAATGGACTTGGTGCCTTCCCAGGAATTGCTGGTTTAGGACTTGGTGGTCCTTTCTTAGGCAATGGAATCATTGGAACTGGAGTTCCAGGAGTTGTATCTTCTGAAACAACCACAATTAATGGAGTCGGTGCTTGCCCAGGAGTAGCTGGTTTAGGAATTGGTGCTCCTTTCTTAGGTAATGGAATCATTGGAGCTGGAGTTCCTGGAGTTGTATCTTCTGAAACAACCACTGTTAACGGACTCGGTGCCTTCCCAGGAATAACTGGTTTAGGACTTGGTGCTCCCTTCTTAAGTGCCGGTATCATTGGAGGTGGGGTTCCTGGAATTGTATCTTCTGAAACAACCACAGTTAATGGACTTGGTGCATTCCCGGGAGTTGCTGGTTTAGGACTTGGTATAGGAAACGGAATCATCGGAGCTGGAGTTCCAGGTGTTGTATCTTCTGAAACAACCACAATTAATGGACTCGGTGCCTTCCCAGGAGTTGCTGGTTTAGGTCTTGGCGCCCCTTTCTTAGGAAACGGGATCATTGGAGCTCCAGGAATTGTATCTACTGAAACCACTGCAATCAATGGATTAGCTCCTTGCTCAGAAATTGCTGGCTTAGGTATTGGTACTCCTTTCTTAGGAAACGGACTCATTGGAGGTATAGCACCTGGAGTTGTATCTACCGAGACTACTGCAGTTAGCGGATTTAACAACTTTGGTGGAATTGCTGGTTTAGGACTTGGTGCTCCATTCCTAGGAAATGGACTTATTGGACCTGCTGCTCCCGGTGTTGTATCTTCTGAGACAACAACAGTTAACGGATTTGGTGCCTTTCCAGGAGTTGCTGGTTTAGGGCTTGGTACTTTGGGTGGTGGATTATTTGGAGCTGCCGGTCTTGGTAACGGGCTTCTAGGAGGAGTGACCAGCACTGAAGTTACTGCACCAAACGCATGCGGTGGATTGACAAGTGTTGAAGTTACTGGTCCAACAGCTCCTGTCTTTGGACTTGGAGTGGGCTCCTTAGGGTTAGGAAATTTGAACCGAGCACTTTTCTAAATATTACATTAACTTATAGATAGGGAGTCATCGACGTTTCCATTGAACTTAAAAAATTAATGAATTTATACGTTTCTTAATTATTTATAAATTGAATAAAAATATAACTGTCTTTAGTATGTTTTTCTTTTTATATTTGTTGAAGTAAATTTCAAAAATTCGGCAGTTTGGAATACGGCTTATTCTAATAAGTCGACGTATAATTCCACTTACAATAGGTACAAATGTGATTAATGATTTAATACTGATCGATTAGTTGTTTAATTAATAACAAAAAAAATAATTTAATATCTGTGGCAAGAAATTGTATAAAATGATCTAATTCTTTTTTAAAATCGTTCTATTCGATTACATGGCAGCAAAGCTTATTTTTCAGTAATACCATCCGCTATTAGATAAGCTTGTTAAATGTGACTCTTTACCTCACCAATGGAGGAAAAGATTCGAACTGACGCAAAGATTATATTAGAGGGATCTCTTGGATTTCGTTAGGCTAGAGAATGAACATCCTAGTCAGGATTTGTCAGGACCACTTAGGGTGACTTAAACGTCTTTATTTTTATCCTTTAGGAAAGCTTTTTTTTCTGACCACTTTTTGTCCGCTAGTGCGTATGAAGGAAGTTGCGTTGTAGACCTCTGACTTCGCCAATTTATCAATTTACCGTAAGATGCAGTGACAGGAAAGGAAAGATGTATTAGAAGGAATGTTTAAAAAATATGTTGCATACGTTTCTTTAATTGTACCTAAACGTAGAAAAGGAAAACTAACTGATTTCAGGAAAACAATAATACATTCAAGGTTATGTGAACTACAACTCCATCTTTATTAACCATACAGAACTAATTAATTAAAATATGACAAAACTGTTGAATAAATGATGACTATTGAGGACAGAAGAAAAGAAATTGATGAAATTGTTCGGTAATCACTATTGGATGTTAAATATTCTCTTATTATAAGATTATCTTCTTTAATCATATCGGCCCCTTTTTCGGCAATCATATAAACAGTTCCAACTAGATGTCCAGTTACAAACGAAGGAACTACCGAAGCATCTATGATCCTAATATTGTCCATACCATGGACAAGTAATCTTTCGTTAATAACTGATTCTGAACTATTCCATCCCATTTTGCAGGATCCTATACCATGAAATGCTGCAATGCCATTATATTGGATTAAGCATTTCCAATAACTTGCGTCACCAAACGAATAGTCTCCACAAAGTTTTGTGTCACGTAGTGGTGTAACGTTAAACTTTTTGAATGGCTCCGATGATAGAATGGATAACGTTAAATCCAATGCTTCTACCAAAGCCTCTAAATCTTGTGTTTCTGATAGGCTGTTAGGATTTATTAGAGGAAACTCTAATGGATTATTTGAAGCTAGCGTAATCCTTCCCACTGATTTTGGATAAAGCAAAACACTGTACAATGCTATGGTCAATGGATTTGTAAAACCAAAAGTGTCGTTCAAGTGTTGTAGGCCAAATCCATCAAGAAAAATGAGTTCCATTGTCGGGTAGTTCTTAATATTGTGGAATGTATAAACATTTGCTCTGGCTGATGATGTCAAAAATCCGGAAGCCTTTAGATATCGAGATATTTCATATTCCAAGGAAGTGTTTTGAAAATAATTCGTTGTTGCTTGAATCCCTGCGACGCACTGGTCTTGGAAGAATTGACCAACTGGTAAATCCTTGACTGGAGTTATGTTCAGATTGAGGAGATCCTCGGAAGGACCGATCCCTGACAGCATTAACAACTGGGGAGATCCAACTACACCAGCTGATACAATTACTTCTCTAACGGCGTTCACGTGATATTTGGTTTCGTTGTGTATAAATTCCACACCGGTAGCTCTCAAATTATCAGTGACAATTCGTATCACAAGTGCTTCAGTAAGGATTTGTAAATTAGTTTGTTCTTCCACCACTGAGTCTATAAATACTTTGGCGCCACTTTCTCTGCGACCTTTGTAAGTTGACTGTTGAACAATGCCGTATCCTAGAGGGTTTTTACCGTTGATGTCCGTCATACTGTAGCCGAAACTTTCTAGTATTTCCATGTATGCCGTAGCAACATCTGAAACGTGTTTGAAGTTTTCAATGACGAGCTCTCCATTAAAACCATGATAGTCCACGTCGATGTTTTCAAAAGATGCGTTTTCGTATTTCTTTAAATAGGGAAGGACATCTTGGAAAGACCATCCCTCCAATCCTAATTCTGTCCATTTGTCATAATCTGAAGCGGCACCTCGCAAAAAGATGTTGTCGTTTATTAATGTACTACCTCCTAATCCTTTTCCTCTTGGATACACACCAAATGNATCACTTACGAGTGATAAGTAATAAGAATAAGTTAAATTGTATTTAAAGGCGTTCATTTCTTTCTAAACTTTAAATTGTTCATTAGAAGTATGCGGAATTTCCGTAATTGCGGAAGTGGAAGCAGAAGTCTGTTGTAACGCTAGACCACACCGTTGTAGATTGCAAGCTCATTTAACACGAGAGAGATTGAGTTCCATAATAATGACAATGCAGAACCATCATGGTATTCCCCAAAAAATATTGTATTACTTACATACAAACTATCGGAAATAACTACTTCCCACAACATAGGTCCGGAATCTTTATGATACATAAACGAAACGAAAAAGATTGAAATCCAGAATTCCCTTGCATTCTCAACTTAAAAATTGTGAAATCTCAAAAGAGTTGGTTCCCTCTTTCCTATTTTTCTTCCTGGTTGACTGCTTTACTTTAAAATCTCTTGGTCCACCGAAGAATTTACTTCATCAATTTTGCGCCCCTCATTTCTGGGCATTGTCCAGCTGGCCCCGCTTAGAACGGGCCCTGTATACCGGAACGTAAAGTCAAATTATCGATTTTTGGAAAGCTTGATTTGTAAATCAAGTCGAATATTTTGCAAAAACATCAAGCTACTTGACTTATCGAATCTACGTTTTAATAAAACTAAAAAGAATATTTAGATGAAGATACAGTTTTCGGCAGTAAAACAAATGAACGTAATTGAATATTGGTAAGCCAATCAAGACACCCTGATACTCATAAAGACGGCCCTTTTTTGTTCTGCAGTAGCGCAAGGGTAAAAATTACCCACTACCACTTGTATATATTACCCCACCCTAAGAAAAAAAAAAAAACAAGAAACAATTACATTTCCACTTCTTTCGTAACGCCCTTATGGAACAATAAAAGAGCGGAGCAATTCTTTTGCCGCAAGGAGTAATAAAAAACCGTGAATATATTTTGTGTAATTGTGCCCCATAAGTCGCCTTTATTACGTCTAGTTCGGAGGAGGGTCGTCCGTGGCGCTGGCGTCTTACGGCACCCCTGGGCCAAGGAGGGCACGTGAGCGAGCAAAATGCTCTTCCACTTCTTATTATTATTCTTTCGGAGGCGCCTAAGACCACCTACTATCGTAAGAACACACTATATCATGGAGAACGGCATTCGTGACAAAGAGCAATTGAAAATTTACAAGGTACGAGGAATTACCTAGCTGAATTTCCGAAATCCAAAATGTAATACCATCTGTAGGGTTCCGCAGTTAAAAAGGAAATTAAATGCAAATTGATCACAATGCGATTAATATCATAAAAATGTAGATAATACCACAAATGGTGCGGTAAACGCCATCTGTAGTACGATGCTCCATTTGAGGATTCCATATGCTCCAACAAACTCCATTTAAATATATGGATATCTACTTGCTGAAACGAATCCCGCCGTAGCTAACCTCAACGTGATAGCACGTTACCATCCATATATTTAAATGGACCTTGTTGGAGCATATGTAATCCTCAAATGTAGCATCGTACTACAGATGGCGTTTACCGCGCCATTTGTGGTATTTTCTAAGACGCGCTGATGAGATCCAAAAAGATCGAAATCGCGATCCGCGTCTGGCAGTTTCGACAGAATACAGACCACTTCGAATTATTTTATTCACAAAAATGTGACAACATTAGGAGTAGATATACAAGGACAAAGGATTCATCATCATCATAAGGTCGTCAGTCCTAAGACTGGTTGGACACGCATCTCCACTCCTTCCTATCCTGAGCTAATCTTCGCATTTCCCTAAAACTAAAACAATCCATATCCTTAACTATGTGCGAACAGTAATCTAATTTAGTTCTACCTCCACTCCTCTTATCTATTGTTTCTACCTCTAATATGTCTCTGACTAGATCTTCTTGCCTGAGACAAAGGATTGGCATACTTAAATTTGCAGATGATATATCAGTATTAGCATCTAGCGAAGAGGAGCCCGAGATTAATTAAATAAAATGGAAACGGTATTGATAAAAGATTATGGTATGAAAATAAATGAAAGTGAATCAACAGAAGAAGTCGCTGATTTTCGATATCTATAGAAAGTCAGATATTTCAAAAGTTGAAAGGAATGGTAGAGATGAGATCATTTCACCGCAGTTAAAGGAAACCAATTAACTTGTGTACCAATATCGAAATTGAATCAACGAAAAGCTTCTAGTTCTTCTAGCTCCATATTAATAACGAAAAACTACACAAAATTAAAGATACAAACTATTTTATTTCATCTCCCAATGGCTTCTTCATCAGGCAGAAAAAGATTTTTTTTTAATTTTAGTTTATGATTAAATTTTAAGTTTCAACATTGGAATTGACCAAATATTAAACCGAAAGTTCATATATTTTATTGACCACAATGATTATTTGACTATGCAGTGGTGGCCTCTCCAACATTTACAGATATTTTGCATTGATGGTTTTGGAATTAGAAGGTAGAGATGTCTTGATAAGGATTTGAAAGCAAAGATTTCGTGACCGGAAGGTTAATGTTAAACACCTTTGAAATGTTTCTTACTATATTTTAGAAGGCCTATCTTAGACACCACTTTGTGCTGTAACTGAAGAAAAACATTGATTCCACTTTTCATTCTATCACAAGAGAATCAAAAAAATAGGTTTCATAAAATGTCATCAATAATATCTACTGTTTAAAAAACATCAGTATCTATAGGTACAGAACATGTAAACATAATCAAAGAAACAATTAGATAAATAATAAAGTGCATGTCTGTAAGTTATATATTCACTAATTAACCTTCATCACAGCGTATGTCCCGCGTCTCCTCTGTTTTGACTGTGATAAATCGACCTTCAACTACCTGTACGCTTTTCCTTTATGTCAAGCGTGAAATTATTCAGTGGTTTTGTGTGAAGTGTTTGAGGTAAAAAATACGTCGTTGAGCTATTAGCACTTTTGGTCGAAAAGTCCAATAATTCTCACTTCTAAATCGGTTGAGATGTCAAGTTCACGTTTAAAGCAGCGGAGATGGTGAATAAAAGAGGAGATCGGAGCTCGTGTTAAAAGCCACACGACTCAATTATTAACCTGGAGCTTTCGACGTGGACTCCGTCGCGCAAACAAATCAAATATTTAATTGTCTCGTCACAAACTGTGATGTCACATGTTCAACTCATTCGTGGTAAACTAACTAACTGTCATTTCCTGATTAGGTCTACCGAAAATCACGGGATGGGTATTTATTTTTAAAACTACCTTATCAATTTTGTAAATTATTACCAAAACTTATATCAGCATTTAGGAGTTAGTAAAGAACGGAAATATTACCTGCAATTATTGCAAGTAGTTTTTGAAAAAAAGGCACCCATTTCTTCCACATTGATGTAGGCATTTTCTAACGAAAATATTCTAAATTAAAGCTAAGATAATTTTTAATCATTTTCTTATTTTTTTTGGTAGGCGAGATAGGTTGGTAGGACACCTTCTCAGACATGAAGATCTAGTCAGAGACATATTAGAGGCAGAAACAGGAGTTAGGAGGGGTAGAGGTAGACCTAGATTAGATTACTCTTCGCAAATAGTTAAGGATGTGGGTTGTTCTAGTTTTAGGGAAATGCGAAGTTTAGCTCAGGATAGGAAAGAGTGGAGGTACGTGTCCAACCAGTCTTAGGACTGATGA